CGAGACACGCATGTATTGTACTCGCTAACAGTCTGTTCATAGACGCTTTGCGGGAGCTTTATCTATTTATTACGGTGCGGGAGATCATGTTGTACCATTGCGTACCAACTTATATGTGGGTGTCTGGCTGCGTGTGTGTCGTTGCACACGTGTTTGTGACGGTATCTGTTCGTTTTATCTGTCGTAATAACACTCCACCCCTCGACTCCCCAAGAGAGACAGGACAGTTGTGCAGATAGTGGAGAAGTTTATTTGCCTGGGCAGTTTGCTTTGGTTGCAGAACTCTCACTCCCAATAAGTCGAGCGATATCATTTTATCAGCTCATTCATGCTGTGTGGAAGCTACCTGGCCTATCACTCCATACGAAGCTCCAGGTATTATCGGCCACAGTTATGCTCTCCCTTCTCTTTGTTTGCGAAACTTTCAGGCTGACCTGCCTACGATCCATCCTGCGTTATACCAGGTAGGATTGTGTAAGAAAGTCAGAAGGTTCTGGACACGTCCCCATCAATGAGTTCATTCGGCACAAGAGGCTACGTTGGCTGGGTCACGTAGCCCGCTTACCCTGCTGTGGCATACCCAATCAACTGCTGTTTGACCCGATGGAGCTGTCTAAAATGGGTCGCGGTACAGGCGCGAGAAGAGAAGGGCTGATGTGGTACAGAAGGACGCGGAGGGGGTTTCTGAAGTGTGCTACTTTGGCAGTTGGAACCAGTCGCTCTCGGGCAAATACGGAGGGTGGATGAGCGATGCTCCCAACAAAGAGTGGAGCAACGAGCGGTTAAAACGCGACCTACATCTGGCAATAAGTAATTATAGTGACAACGTGGCACCTGGGTCTGTTCCGTAACCTCCTGTCAGCAAGCTTTTAACACTCCACGTGGTCTCAGGGTGCACTTAGCCTGGCACAAGCACTGTGATAACGTCACCGCTACTTAGTGGCGAATGGCAGATGTTGTGTTTGTTCTCACGACTTATGCAATTTATATCACGTTGTAATGTTTGGTTGGCGCTGCTATCATTTGAATTTTTTTCAACAAAATGAAAGCCAAATGACGGTGCCAGTCGCTTTGGTTAATGAGAGCAATTAGGAATTCGAGATCACTTTTCAAGAGAAGGGATGATGCCACCGTGGTGTAATGGTAAGCAGCACACTGGACTTGGCCCAGCGTAGCAGTAAAAATAGGACAAGTTTTGTAAAAATCTTAATGCCACTATCCAACCAGAAAGTATACATCTGTATACCAATTCGTCGATCGGAAGGTCACGTGTGGTGTCATAAAGTGTGCGTAACAGTAGGTGGCACAGGTAGTGCACTGGGATCTGTCCCGTGGCCTCCTGTCAACGGGCGTTCAACACCACGTGGCCTTAACGTGCACATAACCTGGCACAGGCACCGTGGTGACGTCACTACACTGTTGTAGTGAAAGCAGGTGCTACCACAGTATGCACTGCTGTAATCATAGCAGGTGCCACCGCAGTCATTATTCACTGGTGTAGTGGAAGCAGGTTTTACCAGTCAGTATGCACTGCTGTATTGAAAGCAGGTACCACCACAGTCAGTATGCACTGCTGTAGTTATAACAGGTACCACCACAGTCAGTATGCACTGCTGTATTGAAAGCAGGTACCACCACAGTCAGTATGCACTGCTGTAATCATAGCAGGTACCACCACAGTCAATATGCACTGCTGTAATCATAGCAGGTACCACCACAGCCAGTATGCACTGCTGTAATCATAGCAGGTACCACCACAGTCGGTATGCACTGCTGTAGTCATCGCATCTACCACCACAGTTATTATGTACTGCTGTAATCATAGCAGGTACCACCACAGTCAGTATGCACTGCTGTAGTGTAAGCAGGTACCACCACAGTCAGTATGCACTGCTGTAATCATAGGTACCACCACATTCGGTATGTACTGCTGTAGTGATAGCAGACACCACCACAGTCAGTATGCACTGCTGTAGTGAAAGAAGGTACACGACATTCGGTATGCATTGCTGTAATCATAGCAGGAACCACCACAGTCATTTTGCACTGATGTTATCATAGCAGGTGCCACCACAGTCAGTATACACTGCTGTAATCATAGCAGGTGCCACCAGTCAGTATGCACTGTTTTAATCATAGCAGGTGCCACCACAGTTAGTATGCACTGCTGTTATCATAGCAGGAACCACCACAGTCATTTTGCACTGCTATAATCATAGCAGGTACCACCACAGTCAGTATGCACTGCTGTTATCATAGCAGGAACCACCACAGTCATTTTGCACTACTATAATCATAGCAGGTACCACCACAGTCAGTATGCACTGCTGTTATCATAGCAGACACCACCACAGTCATTTTGCACTGCTGTAATCATAGCAGGAACCACCACAGTCAGTATGTACTGCTGTAATCATAGCAGGTACTACCACAGTCAGTATGCACTGCTATAATCAAAGCAGGTACTACCACAGTCAGTATGTACTGCTGTAATCATAGCAGGTACCACCACAGTCAGCATGCACTGCTGTAATCATAGCAGGTGCCACCACAGTCAGTATGCACTGCTGTTATCATAGCAGGAACCACCACAGTCATTTTGCATTGCTATAATCATATCAGGAACCACCACAGTCAGTATGCACTGCTATAATCATAGCAGGGACCACCACAGTCAGCATGCACTACTGTGCAAATATCCTTGTGTCTACAAACTAAATTGTGGCTGCGGCAGCAGTTACACTGGGGAAACGAAATGACATGTCTCGGACCGTGTTCGCAAACACAAGGCAGATCTGAAACACGGTAGGACCAATACCTCGGCCGTGGCTGATCATTGTTTTAATGCGGTGGGCTCACACGAAAATTGATTTCTCTAAGATAAAGGTACTTTGCAAACCCACTGGCTATCAACAAAGATTCGTTCATGAAGCCATCCACATATACAGACACAACTTCAATCGAGAAGACGGGTTTAAACTGAGCAATCATTGGATGGACGTTATCAACCAGTTTAAGTCATAACTGGCTGTGATGTTCCCATCCTACCACCTTCCGATGTTAGTTGTTATTTTCGGCTCTCTGATTTTACATTAACAGGTTTAACTTCCCACACTATCACAGCCACCTCGCTCGCCTAGTTTGACGTTGCTGCTCTGCGATCTCCCATCAACATGCTAATCTCTCACAGTAACATGCTAATCTCTCACATTCACATGCTAATCTCTCACATTAACATGCTAATCTCTCACATTAACATGCTAATCTCCCACATTAACATGCTAATCTCTCACATTACATGCTGATCTCTCACATTAACATGCTAATCTCTCACATTAACATGCTAATCTCTCACATTAACATGCTAATCTCTCACATTAACATGCTAATCTCTCACATTAACATGCTAATCTCTCACATTAACATGCTAATCTCTCACATTAACATGCTAATCTCTCACATTAACATGCTAATCTCTCACATTAACATGCTAATCTCTCACATTAACATGCTAATATCTCACATTAAAATAGCCACCTCCACATCCTCGTCATGGAGGTCGCTCTCAGATCTTACGGTAACATAGTAATTTCTCACATCATAACTAGCCCCACCCACTTCGTTAACGACCCTTGGGCTACAACCATTTTAAACCTTAAAAACATTCTGCTTCAGCAGCTTTCCCCCTATTTTGTCCTGCTGATGACGATCGCTTGTGTTGTGATCGAAACGTCGCATTTTTTGTTATTTTTGTGTTATTTTCTTTGAACTTATCTAAGTGACTTTACCGAAAGACCCAAAGAATAATAATTCCTGCAGTCAGGAGAGCTTTAAGTCAAAATGATGGTCCCATTCCAATAAAATGTATTGTTGCGTGAACTTTTCGTGTGCTGTAGTTGTTCACTGTCGGTGAGCAAACCAACCAAAAGCAAACCAATAGGTGACTTTACCGAAAGAACCAAAGAATAATTCCTGCAGTCACGAAAGCTCCAAATTAAGTTTGAACCCATTGTCTAGCCAAAGCCGACAAGAATGTACACGGTCTTCTTCGCTCATGCGTCTCTCCAGCAGATGATACATCAATGTAAACGTAACACAACAAGTATTTACAATTCTAGATTTGAAGTTTTCGTGACTGCAAGGATTCATACTCTTTGTTTTTTTCGGTAAAGTCACGTAGGTAATTTATTTACTTTTTTTTACCTACGTGACTTTACCGAAAAAAACTAAAGAGTCTAAGTATTTACAACATCCCCATCGACTTCACGCGCGGGCTCCTGGGGGGGTTGGCGGGGGGGGGGAGCGCACGACTCCAGCAGGATTGGTCCGAAGCGAGAAAAGTTATCATTTGGCAAGTATGCTGGCGACACGTAACGCCGTTGAATTAATACCGCGGTGGGCACAGAGGGCAACGGAGCGATGAAGTCGCGCCCAGACCCTGGGCGTTGTTAGCGGAGGGTTGGGTTTAAATGCGTGCGTGGTTGGGGGGGTGGGTGTGGGGAAGTGTGTGGGGGGGGGGTGTGGGGGGGTATGGGGGGGTGTGTGAGGGAGTGTGTGGGGGAGTGTATAGGATGGTGTGGGGGGGTTGTAGGTGGGGGGTGGGTGTGTGGAGGGTTGGTGTGGAGGGTGTAGGTGGGGGGTGTAGGTGGGGGGTGTAGGTGGGGGGTGCAGGTGGGGGGGTGTAGGTGGGGGGTAGGTGTGTGGGGGGTGGGTGTGTGGGGGATTGGTGTGGAGGGTGTAGGTGGGGGGTGTAGGTGGGGGGGGGTGCAGGTGGGGAGGGGTGTAGGTGGGGGTGGGTGTGTGGGGGGTGGGTGTGTGGGGGGTGGCTGTGTGGAGGGTGGCTGTGTGGGGGGTTGGTGTGGAGGGTGTAGGTGGGGGGTGTAGGTGGGGGGTGCAGGTGGGGGAGTGTGGGGGGGGGAGTGTGGGGGGGGGGATGTGGGGTGTAGGTGTGGGGGTGTGAGGGGGGGGTAGGCTCACTCGTAATGCTACTGGAGGAAGTGTCAGACGTATTCACCGTGCAGACAACACGAGTTCATGTTCGACCGTCATCAAAATGTATTATTCATGCTGCTGCTCTTATTAGCATCGCCTCGTTGTCCCGTGTTGCGAGTCTCGTCGTGACAACTGTGGGAAGAAACACACAAATTGTTTATTTAAGTACAATTTGTATTATTATTTTACTTGAGAATTTAGCACAAAATACTTCGTGAGATTTAGGTTTATCTTGCGGTCTTTTAAAATCGCTGTTTTTTGCCGCTTGGGAGTTTTTTAGACGACAAAGAAGAATATGAAACTAAAATCCCCCGGTAAGTTTTAAACGTTATTTCTCCAACATGTCTTGTTTAAGTTGTTATACGAGAAGTACTGTCCGAATTTTTAACATCCAATGTTCTTCGGGCCAACGTAAGTCCATCGATCAGTCCCAACCGATTAGCACGGTTGGCTACGTACCGTGCGAAAAAAGTTCTTCATCTTTGAAAATAAGTTTAATATATCCTACTGCATACTTTGTTCCACACACTTTGCGCTTCCGTGACCATCTGGTGAGCTTCTGCGGTCGTCTGAAACGCTCTTCCCAATATTAGGAAGCCACTGGAGCTGATTCACTTTTAAATTGAAAACTCACTTGTTTAGATGTCTTTAGTTTGTTGTCTTTCGCCCGCTCGTCCGCATTCGTCGACTCTAAAAATGTGGTTAATGATTTGACTCCGTCGTGGATTTTACGGGATTTCGTTTTTGGTATTTGTTTATTTAAAACAAACACAATAGTCAGCCAGGGACCCGTGGTCAATCCACTGCTGGATAAAGCCCATCCACAATCCGCTCTTAATTATCCGCCTCTCGCGCGGTCCTGCGATTTAACACACTTATCCAGAACAAAAAACGCAATAGTTTGTCATTTTGTAAACTACCGTGGACAGACGGATCGTTGCATCGCGAGAGACCGTGGGAGATGTCTAAATGCTTGGGGAGGCATTCGTACAGCAGTGGATGGAGCCTGACTGCTGGTGGTGATAATGATGTTGATGATGACAACGTTTCTATTTGTTGTATAAGGTGGTCTAGATGTTTTATGACCCCCCCCCCTAATTGACCTCGAACATTTTATCCCCGTCACGTATTCATTTCTGTTTTAAATAAACGTTAATTTTAAAATGAATGTTAAGCGTTAGAGAAATTAATGAGGGTCACAAGACATCTGGACCACGCTGTACATACCGAAGATAATTGCTGTCGCGGTGTGCACACCTGTGTTCGACTTTCCGTTGTGTTCTAAGCAATGTGAACGTTTGTTTGCGTGCGAGTCAACGTACGTAATTCTTCGAGTGTGGTTTGCCTGGAATTGTCTTTGCGTGCGCGTGAGAGGGTGTTTTATTTCCGTATCTGCGTATCGTGTGGTGTGTCAAGGACCGCACAGCTGCGTCTCGCTTAACAAGCGAGATACGTTCGGCGAAAATTCGTTCAACGATCATCGTTTTCCCATTGACTCCTCTGCTAAAAGCTGAGTTACGTGTCGGCCTCAAAAATGTCCCATTGTTGTACAACTTTTTTTAACGTGAGAAATTACAAATTATAACTTTCAAAAGTAAAAACAGAGCAATGTAATACAATACACTATTAGACATTGTAAAAAAAAAAAAGTCCATCCAATGTGTTGGTGAATTTTTAAAAAATATTTTAGGCAGGAAATTCGTTTTAAAATTTAGATATTTTTCTGGGTTGGGACCCCTAGACACCCTGGAAGATTTGCCCCCCCCCCCCCCCCCCCAATGTTGACTCCATGGCTAGGGCCTTGAATGATATTAACGTGTTTAAGCAAACAGATAGTCCACCGCCGGCTGCATTATTATCGAAGCTCCACCCGTTTCATATGCGTACGTACATTTTCAGTAGACCCCCCATACGCAAGCGTACGCATTTGGAATAACCCCGCCTTCCCCCTCCATGCCTACGTACTAAATGGATGGCCCCTACTTTGTGTTCTAGAGGTCACATGAAGGGGGATTTCGGGGGGAGGGTTGCTGTGCTATGCGGTGATCACTTCCCGTGGTTCGTTCTCTAACACGAAGTGAGATCGCGATGCCGTGCGAGAGATCCAAATGGGTTAAACATCTCGTGCGAGTGGAGTGCGATAGCACAACCGGGATAACATTGAAAAGAAAGTGCTCCTGCTTAGCCTTGTAGCCTTAACGGGGCAAGGAGCTGTTAACTAGCAGTGGGGAAGAAACTTAAGAAAAATACAGAAAGAAAATGCTTTAAACCGCTTGAGGGGTTATTGTGGGAGAGATTGTTGCACAGGTCAGCAGTGGGAGTGTCTGTGTATGGGAGGAAACTGGAATTCCTGGGGAAAACCAGGAATTATGTGGCTCAAAGTTGGGGGTGTTTAAAATATATATGAGTCCCTTATTTGCAAGAAATACTGGAACATTCTAGACCTTAAAGGGAAAATATAGTCAGCATCTTTATGAAAAAAATGCAAATGTATCAGTGTATTTAAAAAAAACTGCCCAAGGCAAATCGTTACTCATTAGCACGAGGGCTGTTAGGAAGGGTGTTTCGTAATAGGGAGAATGCTCTACGGTGGTGAGCCGTCTTGCGGAAGATTATTATTTAATGCGCTGCTATACAATTGGGAGAGGTTTGTCAGCCCGTGGTGGTCTTCAGGCAATTGCATGAACGCGCAAAATTGCTGCAAAACTCTGCTCTGTTATTAAGCAGAGGTGGTACCATCTGGGACGTTGTAGCTGCCTCGGGGTGGTGGCTGTGGGAGAAGAAAACCTGTTTCTTGTACGTCGACGTGCGTCAATGCTTACTGGAACGCGGCCACACTACGACGATGTATTGTGACAACGCAAGGTCCACGATAATCGCATCGCCCGTTTTGCTTCAGAATTTTTTTAGCCGCGATTATGTCTGCAGATCTTCCCTCGCTTCGACAGGCGTTGAGAGTGTTTGGCTGTTATAGATTTCCACGTGATAAGCCGCTTTGTTGAGCTGTCATTTGTGGCTCGGTCGCTTCTGAAAAAGTCGGTACAAGCCAGAGGAAAGCGGCAACAAATGACGAAATGTGCAGTAGAAACATACGGGCTATCTGCCCATGCAAGTACCATTGATGATGATGTATGTAGAACTTCTTTCGCACTCTACGTAGCCAACCGTACTAATCGGAGGTGCGGGGGAAGGACAACAAACTAAACACATAAAACGATCTTCTTCTTGGTACTTTCGGTAAAGTCACGTAGAAGGGAAATAATAAAATAATAAAAATAAAACATAATAAAATAATTCTCACGACGTTTCGCCAACAACGCAAGCAGCCGTACTCAGGTGAAGACCAGGTTTGTCGGGGAGACAGCGTCTATGTTTTATTTTTATTATTTCCCTTCTATGTGACTTTACCGAAAGAACCAAGAAGATGAATCCCTGCAGTCACGAAAGCTTTAAATCGAAACATAAAACGATTCTAAAGAAATGACCTTTCAATCTACATTTAACAGTGCACAGCCCCAGTAGCTTCCTAATATCGGAAGGAAGAGCGTTCCAGACGGCCGTAGAAGGGCATTTGAAATCGCGTGATGCGGTGACTAGCGTCTTTATTCGATGGGTAGCCAAAAGCTGCTGCGAGGATGACCGAAGTCCGCATGATGGTTGCTGCTCCTTGGCGAGATCGGCAAAGTAGTGTGGTTCATTTGTGGTACCACTTTGTGTCGAATGAGTGTTTATTTTTTAAGGTCACATTATTATTGAAAAACGTGTTGAGTTTAGGCCAATCGGTTTAAAAAGACAATGAATATATTACACTGTGTAATAATTTATTTGTTTGTTCATGGGTAGTAAATGTTATTTCCTAATTCGTTATGCCTCAAAAGTACAGAAAATGGCTATTTCCCCCCACAAAGCTTTTATGACCAGGACAGTGATACTTTGAAATATACCTATTTTCAATCAGAGCATGTTTTCATGTTCACCACAAGTACGGTGTGGTTAATGCAGACTTGATTCATTGCAAATGTTGACACCTGTTTTATTGGCAGACAGGGGAAAAAGCCATTCTTATTTTCATACTTGTTGAGTTTGTTCAATAATTGTGCTTGTGTGCCCACTGCCAATGCATCATCATCAAATAATCAGTTTTATATTGGGAAAATTACGGATATCAACGCCTCGCCAAACACTGGGGAGTTAGGTTCCTGGGTGGTAAAAGTACGGGGGGGGGGGGGGTCTCGAGGAAATAGCGTGATTGAGGAACCGCAGTTGTGGTCAGAATCGTCAAAGCTGAATTAAATGTCGATTTAAAGCTTTCGTGACTGCAGGGATTCATTTTCTTGGTTCTTTCGGTAAAGTCGTGTAGAATGGAAATAATAAAATAATAAAAATAGACAGACCTGTTTTCCACCTGAGGACGGCTGCTTGTGTTGTGGCCGAAACGTCGTGAGAATTATTTTATTATGTTTCATTTTTATTATTTTATTATTTCCATTCTACGTGACTTTACTGAATTAAATTGTTTGGTTATTCACAAAACACCGAATAAAATACGGTACATTGCAACATAATAAAACATGAATAAAAAAATGTCACTTTCTTCTGGCTCCTGTCCTACCTATACGCATGACACAATAACATAATACAACATGACATACCTTTAACATACTCTTTGGTTCTTTCGGTAAAGTCACGTAGATAGAACATTAATAGATCACGACGTTTCGATCGCAACACAAGCGACCGTCTTCAGGTGAGAGAGATAAAGGTACTGAAATATGTCTGCCTGAGATGGGTGCAGCCTCATGGTAAGAAGACGACGGGGCTAGAGATGATGCTGATGTTGACAACGAGATTACGAGGGAAGGGATGGTGAGAAGGAGGAGGGGGGGCTCAGTCCAACCTTCCCCCTCTGCCTCAGAGCGACAAACACGACACGGCAAGCCTCCACCGCCCACTGCACCCTTCAGGTGCACGACTTGGAGCAAAATGAACATAAAAAAAATTTAACCCGTAAAAACAAAGTTTTTCACTATAAATCCTTAAATATGCGTGGCATCGGTTTTATTTTATTATTCATTTCTGTTTTTCTTGAGTAAGAGTTTCATTTTTTATCACATTGGTATTTAAAATTAAATATAAAAATGTTTTTCCTAAAAGTAAATAAATTGTCACGCACAACGAGTCTGTGTGCAAAATGTCAGCTCGATTGGATCACGGGAAATGGGTTAAAAAACGACCGAAAGATTTGCACGGTCATAAGCGCGCAAGCAAGCAAGTGAACTTAATATAAAGGATTTAATAACTTCATCGGCACAGC